TATCCTTTTTTGTATAATTTAGATTAATAATGCTAACTTTTTGTACACATGTGACATAATAAAATCAAATGGTATATCTCTGTCAAATTTGGGTAAAATTGACATTGTATCATTTTTAATAATTAAGACTAAATTAGGCATTTTAGTGATAAAAGGAATTAAGTTAAACCAATCAAATAAAAAAAAATTGAAAGAGTGGTTTTATGTAAATTTTAATGTCAGAATTTTTTGATTTGAAACATTGACATATTTTCTCTTAAACGTGTTTGGTGTAAGTAAAACTATTGTTAAACTAGGCTTTTTAACCAATTAGTAGTAATTTTTTCAAACATTTCCAAAATAAGTAAGCTTCTAAAAAATTCTCGAAATATTTTGGCATAGCGGGTCCCAACCAGAAATCTGCACAATGGACTATTAGTTCAGTGGTAGAGCACTTATGATTTTTTTTATATATATATAAAATTTCACGTAAAAATATTATTCAAACAAGCATAATTGTCCATAGTTCTATATGTATTTTATTAAAATTAAATTGAGAGATAGTTATAATTTTGTGGATAAAAGAAATACTCTTCTTTTTTTGTTTTGGTAATTTCATTAAGATGTGTGTAATAGAGATTGGTAAACAGTTGAGGGAGTTGTGGAGTAATTTAATATTAATTAATTATTAAATTAATATAATAAATAAAGGTTTTTAAATTATCCTATACTGATAAAAGAAAATTTTAAAAATAATGTGATAAAAAGAGTAAAAAAAATAACGAAATATCTACACGAAAACGTTACGTGGACTTTACCTATTATTATAAATATAATAGAGTGAAAAAAACAACTAAAACAAGACAAGTTTTGTCTCTAATCACGACTCTTTCATTTTAGAAGTACTAAAATAACAAACAGGACTTTCATAAAAGAAAAAAGAATCGTGTTTGTGAAACACAATTTACCTATTTTGGAATTTTTTTTTAAAGTTATCCATTTTAGATTTTTGAAAAATTACTTCACTGACGCAAAAAAGCCGTTAAACTATCAATAATGACAGTTAGATTGCCCTACAGGCTACAGCTGTCGACAAAATTTCTTTAGAGAATCGATCATTATTCACCCTCATAAAGTTTTCGTAAAATGACGCGTGAACGATCATTTGTTCCTTGCAATTCCTCTAATTCATTCATGTAAGTACAGTTTCCCACGTATAATTAATAGCCTTCCATAGCCACAATGGTTAATTGAAGATTTTTCTTCTTATGGGCTCTTTCCTTTCTTTTAGTCATTCAAAAATCCACCTGAATTCATTGCATGTATTAATGTGTGTTATCAAAATATAAATATGGTGGAACATCCAAATGCAACAACTTTAGCCAACTTTGTCGCTCACACCGTTTTGTTTCTCTAACAAACGTTATAGTATAGTTCGTGCAGTTAAGGTTTTAATTTATGAGGTATCATCAGTGACTCACTACTTATAGTTTGTTTTAGCACTTGAATACTATATGATTATTATTTTATTTTATTTTTTTTTAAGATAGGAAAAATTAATGATTACTAACTACAAACCGAAAAGAAGAAATATTAACCACACTCCGATATGATTTTTAATAAAATTTAATTAATTAAATATAATATATTTAAAAGAATGTGTTAAACATTACTTTATTAGCAATTCTGCAAAAACTTTCTTCTATTATTTACAATTAAGCCTAGTGTTAGTAGTGCCTTAAACGAAATTGATTAGTCAATAGACAATTAAAAGTGAAAGGGTCATTGTCGTTATTGTTGTTCTCGTATCCAAATATATACCACATTTTTCGTCGCATTGCACGATTTTTATTAATTAAGATTTAAGGTGATGAGTGATGACTTATGAATGGCTACATAGGTTGTCTTCTTCTTAAGTTCATATTCATATGGAGCTATGGCCATTCAAAAATTTGAATACTTCATGTGTGAGTTTAATGTACAATAATGATATTCATTTAAATTATTTTTTTTTAAAATCACATATATTTCTCCCTTCAAATATTACCGAAATACTGAATGATCAACCACCTGAAAAGTTTTAAATAAGATCATCCATCATTAATACCTTTGTGATTTGAGTCTCAAAAGAAAAGAGAGAGAGATGTGTGAATCCTCGTATATATTATTTTTTGTCTCTTGTTATGTCTCTCTAGAGTCTAGATTTGGTAAGATTTAATCCTAACCCTAACATTTACTCTATCTTTTCAAACTAAACAATAACCTTAAATTAGGGGAAATGTTAATCTGAGATAGTTTTTTTTTTCATTGAGGATATTTTTCTCACAAAATTTTCTTCCCGTATAAAGTCTGTTTTTTTTTTTGTTGCAAGTTTAAGTACAATATATTTGCAATTTTTTTTGGGAAACTGTAAATATATATTTTTGATTAAATTATTTTATACGCTTTTGTAATTTTGATATATAATTTTTAAATAAACTCTTATAACTTTTTAATTAAGTCTTTGTAATAAAAAAATCCTATTCTCTAATTAGTGCTAATTTTTACTATACTATAAAGATTTATTTTTAAAAAGAATTGGTTTAAGTATAATGACTTATTATTGTTGTTCGTCATCTTTATAATTTTTTTTTGTTCGTCCCTAGAGTATCCACCGCTGATAGCAGTGATTAATCTCCTCGCTATGTTGGAGGCACCTCAAATGGTGAGATAACTGGTCCCAAGATCGCAGCTGCATACACAAGGCAGGATTCAAACCCCTGACTCGTTATTTTTATAATTTAAAAGCATAAAAGACATCCTAAAAATAAGAATTTATAAATTAATTCAACCTTTCCTCCTTTATAACATTGATGACTAGTTTTGCATTCATTAGAATTTTTTTTTTATTACTTCTACAAAATAACTAAGAGTTGAGTTTGGTGATAGAGCAATCCTAATTTTACTTTTAAGTAAAAGATTAACTTCAAATCTTAAAAAACAATTATTGATAGAACAATTAATCACGATGATACTTAAAAATTAGTCATATATATATATATATAATTCTTTTATTAGAAAGAATTATAAGATAAATTTTCAGTGGTTGGATAAATTTTTTTTTCTAAGTGACGACTCCATTAAAAAATCTTTAACTTTATACGTAAAGTTTGACTATAATTACATCTCACTTCTAGTGGCGTGAACATCCACCGATAGGCAAGTAATTTTCAAATAGGTATTTATAGAGATAATTTGATTAAAGAAAAAAAAATGACTTGGGTTATGTGTACATGAGTGTACATTAGACATGCATGATCCCCGTTTAGTCAGAGAGAGGGAGTAGAACGTATAAAGAGTAGTTGAGTGTAAATGTAAGAAAAAGAGGATCACCAAACAAGATTAAAGTACCTTTAAAGTCAACTTCTATTTACTTGATACGAATTGCTTTTTTGTGAATGTATTAAAAGTTACTTGAGTATAACTTTCCTTAAGACGAAATAAGAAGCCACTAAAAATGGAAGTAAAATACCGTCATCAAGATGTTCTCCTATTTTGCTGCCCTGACTGATCAAAGAGTAAGAGTGGCATATTTTCTTTTAATTTTTACTTACCAGAAAAGATAATATATTAAATTGCTAGAAAGAGATAATTAAGAAACACGGAATAATTATTTGTTTGCTACGTTTGATAAAAAAATTGAAAGAGAAATTGCCAGAAAGATTGATATATCACTTTAAGTGGGGAACGTCTAAGCTACTCATTTAGAGGTATACCCACCAATTATTAGAGTTGATATAATAAATAACAGCAGATTACTGGTTCTTTCTCTCTCTAGCTATCTAATTAATCTCTCTTCTTAATACATGTTATGTCTTATTTAAGCATAAATCTCATAATGATCTAAAATTATAATATGATTTTTTAAAATATAATTTAAAAATTGAAATAGTTAAATTATACCATCATTCATTGATTCAATTAGTATTGCTGTTGATCTTTAAATCTCAAAATCTCAAAGTTGAGTTTTAGATTTGATATAAAAAAAACATTGTAAGGGTTAACATAATTTAATGCAGTTAAGATCTTGGTAAAGATTAGTTTTTAACTATAGTACTCATGCCATAGTAAAAAAAAAGTTAAATTATCATTTTTTTTTCTGAGCCAATGTAAAAAGTGATATGAATTATGAAAGAAATTTAAATGTTGTTCATTATATTTATTTATATTGTTCTCTTATAAGAATTGAATCAATCAAGCAAAAGTTACAGTTAATATAATATTCAAAATAATTTTTGTAAAGTCAATAAATTTAACAGTGATTTATGATTAGATTGTGTAAAATTGTTTTATGACATAGTTTATTCTTTTATATTTTGATTTTGATTAAAAAAACAACAACACATAATATATATGCAAGTTTTGTTCATAAAATATTTAGGATACCAAGGAGGGCTAGCATTAAAAATTACAAAATTATGAGTGAGACTTGTTAATTAAGAAGTGAGGGTAATCAAATTTTGTTATTTATAATAAATTTCAAGAAATTACAAATAGTCGTTAAAGAGTATATTATTAATATTTTTTTTAAGATAAAAAATTTGTTTAGATAAACATTTTCATAAGTATTTATAAAAAAATAAATTTATTTAAAACTTAAAATTAGTTTATGTCCTAAGTTATCCAAATTATCTCATATTTACTTCTCTAAAGTATATTTTTTAATATATGTACAAATTCATCTTAAGTTATGAAAAAACTCATTTCATTTGACTTTTATTTTCATCTCCTATAATGGATTATGAATAAATTTATCCTCACATATTCAAAATATGTTTTTAACTTATAAAAAAAATAAAATTTGATTTTAATACATATAAAATTTTAATATGTTTTTAGTTTCAGTAAAATTATTTTATATTATAAAAATGCTTAGCCTTTTCTCTCTAATAATTTTATTCAATTTTGATAATAATTATTTTAAAATATTGTTAAAATCAATTTCTTAATGATTATTGTAGGTGGCCATTGCAGTTACAAACCGAAACAAATTAGTTCAAACGCATTTTCAATTCATCACTCTCACTCAAACAAACAAACAAAATGCCGCTAAGAAACCCTCACTCCTCCACCGCCGATCTCCTCACATGGCCCGAACAACCTCCGCCGCTGTCCTCCGCCTCCGGCCACCGCTCTCGCCAGGTTACTACTTATATTTACTAGCTCTTTTGTTTTTATATATATATATTTTTCCAATTCAATCTCTCGTGAAGATATATAATGCGTTTGTTTTTTTGCATGTTATTCAAATCGCTCTTTGTTATCACAGACTTCCGATAGAATCAGCGAGGTTCTCCGCGGAAGCCAGTTCACTGAGGCAGAAGCACAGAGTCTAACAAAAAAGTAATATCATCTCTTTTTTTTCCTCCTCAATTCTATTCCTGTGTTGGTTGGTTGTTAGTTGAGTGATGAGTGTGCATTCAGATCTATTATTTTTTATTTTTTATTTTTTTATTTTTTAATTGATTTTTGTTTTTAATTAGTTCGTTCTGTGATCCGATTTTGTGTTTCTTTTATGTGGTTTGGCCTTTTATTTTTGCGCTACCAATCTGTTTGTATCCTTGGAAACACTATTCGTTTTACCATTTAGTAGTTTCTGTTGAATCCATTTCTTCCTCCTATTTTTCGTGTTGAGCAGAAGCCAATCATTGGTCTGCATTCAATTGTTGTTGAAATTTCTGAGAATTGTGTTATGATGAACAATCAACACGAAATTTAGAAATTATGTTTGTATGCAAAAGCATGATTGATTAGTTTAACATTGCTCTTTTTGACCTAATAATTCGATGTACTAACTACCGCTAGTGTTTTGTCGCATGTGTATCATAAACCGAAATTTTCTTTTAATAAAATTTAAGGGAAAAAAAATACTAAATCATGCTAGCAAAGTCGAGTAATATCATTTAATTATATTAAATCCATTTAAAAAAATCAATTTTGCTAAATTATCTTTCACTAAACCTTGATATCATGAATATTTTTTTATTAGAAATAAAATATCAATCAAATGAAAGGATATTTTAGATAAGATAATATTAAATAAAATGAAATTAATTAAAATTTGTATGTATTTAAAACCAAAACATTTTTTCTTTCTCTTTTATTCGAAACTGGAATAATGAGTATAAGAGTTTAATTTATAATTTTTTTCCAATGCCAACCAATTAGATTTATTTCAAGTATGATTTTTAAAGTAATTATAATAAATTCAGCAAACAAATCATACATAATAATCTATAATTGGATGACAATATAAAAAAACTTTGGAACTATGAGCGCATTCTAATTAAACTACAGTATATGTTTGCTACTAGTGAAGTTCAAAGGTTCATGTTATATAATCTTGTTGTTAGACATATCCTCTTCACGTGTGTTACTGTTAAAGGATTATTTTTATACCTGTTAATATGTTTATTATCTGTCATTAGCTGTCATAGTTGTTTCTGTTATTAGTTGATAGGCTTATTTTTCTCTTCTGTTGTGATTGTAACTACCTTCAACTGCAATTTTTTTTCTCCTTATAGATAAATGACAGTTTGTATAAATAGTCTTCCAGCCCAATTAACAAAGTCAAGTTCCATCTTGTTCATCATACCATTTATTGTTTCCTCTCTTTCTAACATGGTATTAGAGTAATCCCATCCCTTCTAGTTGTTTTCTTATTCTTCTTCTTGATACTCAGGAAATCGTGCTTTGAATCTAAAATGAAAGAGACAACTGGAAGTGGTATAATTTCGGGCAATGCTGAAGATACCACGTTAGAAGGCAATTCTGCAAATGCAAAAAACAAAACAAGCATACGCGTATATCAGGTACGCTAGATGTTTGCCTTGGTCCAAGGCAATTTGAGATTTGACCATATGGTTACGAGAGTTTCTTAAATATCAACTCGATTGTCATAACGGTATTGTTGTTTTATTTCCCTGCAATTGGCATCTCAGCAAGCAAGGCATGGAATCAGTCAGATATCATTCGGCACTGAAGAAAACATTTCTCCCAAGAAACCAACCTCTCCACATGAGATAGCAAAGCAGCGTGAACTTAGTGGATCATATCAAAGCAAATCAGTCGCGAAGATCCAGAAGCAAACATCAAGTGCCAAGACCAAGGAGCTCAGCGGAAGTGATATATTTGCCCCTCCTCCTGAAATTGTGCCACGTTCATTTGCTACTGCACAGACTTTGGAATCAAAAGCAAGTAGAGACATGAGAGAACCTGTTCCACAAAAAATGCACGCATCTGCGGAAGTTTCTAATGTAAGTGTCTTTTGGGCATGAAGATCAATAACAAATCATCTTTTCAATTTTTTATATTAGATGAAAGTCTGAAGAAATTTTATTGTTCTAATTCCGTCTTATATACATGGCTATTCATGGTGTTCTGATATGGGAACAGCCCTGGGGTTTCCAAAAAGGTTGTCCTAGGTCCGGAGTCTTTAAAGAGTGTTCCACCAAGCTTAGTTCTTATAGACTCTGCTCACCTATCATCCTCCGGATTTTACGAATGCAAACCCCTTCCTTATATTATCGAGTGATTAATTCTCCTCTCCCCCTATTTCGGATATCATGGAATTTGGGAATGAGTTGGGGCCAGCAGTGCCCCTAGTGACCAGACCTATTAAGTTATATAACCCAAGGGTTGTCATAGAAATACGGTTGCTGATATGGAAGAATACCATTTATTTGGGGATGTCAGAATTTTCTATTATGTATGTTCCCTCACGGAAACATGACCCGGATATCTTGAGTTAGAGCCAAAATGCACATTCATTGTGTTGAAAAATGCCACCAGTTTGTCTACTAGTTTATTTATAATATTTCCGCATCAGGTTTCTTCTTTATAGATTTCATTTTTAGGTGTTTGGTAGAAACAAGAGATGTGTTTCTTAGTTTTACAATAATGGCACAATCTTTTGTTTTTTTTTTTCCTTGTCTGAAATAAGATGCAATTATATTCATCCATGTGTTTCCCTCCTTTAGTTCATGTGTCTTCTCCCTCCTTATGATTACATTTTGACACAAGTTTTATTGCTGTTGTAGCCTGCTGGTGACCCACGTAATATCTTATTCAGTGACGAAACAGTTAAAAAGACATTAAGACAAGTACATCTCCAGAAGTCTGCAGATCTGACGGGTAATAATATTTTCCAGGGAGACGTTCCTGCAGGATCACCGGAAAGGCCTTCGAGCAGAGCTAAACTTAGGGAAATGGCCGGGAATGACATATTTGCTGATGGAAAGGCAGAAACCAGAGAATATATAGGTTCCCGCAGACCCCCAAGTGGAGGAAGCCGCATTGCCCTGGTTTAAACTTGATACCTTAATTCGTCCCATTAACTGTGTGCGTTCTATAAATTCCTCTAAAGGATCAGTGTGTTGTTGGATTGTCAACATTGTATATTTATGGTTTAACCCTCGACCAAGTATATGTACAGCTAGCGTTACCATAATGGGTGCAAGTGCAAATGTTTATTTACGTTGATATATTATACACAATCAGATATTAAATAAATAAGATTGTTAAGATTCTTTTTTTTCAGTCAGAAATTATTTACTATATCTGGTTTATGATTTTTATGAGATAGTTGTTGAGAAGTACTATATTTGTTGATATATTGCTGAGTAGAAAAAGACCCAGCGAATATTGTATTATTTAAAGTGGTAAAGCTTTTTGTCTTGAATTTCCGATATTCAAAACATATTATTTAAAAAATACCAGGATAGTGTATACCCCTCATAAGCAGCGTTACCAGCAAGCCATAGAATTCCTCTGTCCTGAGAACCACGTGATAAGAGGAAAAGCAAATAGCCTAAACAGCAATCCCATGACTACTGAACAAAATAATAAAGAACACTTAATCATCGTGTCCAGCCAGTGCAAGGAGAAAGCTCTTATAGTCTCCAGAAGTGTCATTGGCTATTGCACGGTCCAGAGGAATGCTATTTCTTCTTTGGTATTCCTCAGAAATTCGCTGCAAATTAAACTCTGCTCTGGTTGTCACCACTCTGGTAAGGGCCCTTTCATCAGTTCCCATCTTGTTTAAAGCCAGCCTCAAGAGTTTCGCGAAGTATTTCTCAGGGTATGTCAAGCACTTTATGGCTGCCCTCAATAATTTCAGATATTCATCTTTTGGATCAGTTTTCAGATCCTGCAGACAGAAACCGATTGTCACTTCAACTACCTGATTAATCCTATAATCACTTCATATGACAATTTCTTTCTTGTTTTTTTATATATATATTTTTTTTATTTCATGTAACCCAGCATATGATCCTTTAAAATGTAGTAATTTATTCATCTACAAGAAGAGTGTCACTAGAAATTATGTTTCTTAAAGTGATCAGTAACATTGTAAACAACATAAGTTCAGCACTGCAGTAGCCAGTAGGTACTAACAAAAAGCAGATGTTAGGTTAGAAACAGAGAAATGAGTCATAAACGGCCAAAACGTCTCTATACCTTGTTTATGGCATTCCCGAACTCATTGTTGTAGTGATTTAGCGTTGCTCCTAACTGCGCTTTACTCCTTGTTGCTAAAATCCTGATCAGGTCCTCATCATTGTAGGCCTTCTCTGCAATCTTCCCGTGAAGCAATTTAGCCTCAGATTTTGCCAATGTCATGTTCACCTCATCCCCCTCATAACGAAATGTGCTCACAAGAGGAACCAATAGCTGTTATTGAAGTATCAGAAACACAATCTCATCAGGTACTAGGAAAGAAATGTTTTAAAAAAATTGTTAGAAAGAGTGCATGGTTAGAATCGCTTATTATTTTAAAAAAAAAAAAGAAAAGAAGAAGAAGAAAAATTATCTCAGGAGCCTAGAAAAAATAAGCGATTCTTTCTTCCAAATAAGTTTAACTAAACATGCATCTAGGCATGGCGTAATAATGCCGACAAAAAGAATGTGAATTATCTTTCAAAGCTAGCAATTCAATTGAATGGATATATCCATCCTCTCAAGGAGCACATACATTAGAAAGTTAAAGTTTTACCTTGCGGACGTCTCCAGAAGTATGATAGGCAACGTCTTCTTCAAGGGACTTTTTGAAACGGGCTTGATATGCTTGCTTTGCCTTAAATAGGTCAAGTGAGGATCTAGTGGAAGCAATTTCCAAAATGACCCAATTGTTTGAAGTCAACTTCTTGGTGGCCTCATTGGCTAGAAAGGCATCACGCTCAGCAGGATCCAATGTCCACAACAACACAGCCCGCTATTATATTCAAAACATTAGACATTAGACATTAGTCATTAGACAAGAAACTCACTTCATACCAGCAACTGTCCATTTCCTTTAATCAAGATTGTACACATAGAACACTGAAGCGGAGTACTATGAATAATGAAAATTAAAAAGTCAATAACTGATAGGGAAATTGAAAATTCTAAGTGCTGACCAATAAAATGGGCGTTAAATTTAGACTTACATAAAGAAGCCGTATATCAAAAGATTTAGACTGACCTCAAAGTCACTTGAAAGTTCTTTGTCTAAATCTTTAAGAAGATCATCTCCATAGGTTGCAGCATAAGCTTCGCGAATCAAGTTACGCTGAGCTCCATTTCTATGAGCCAGGATTGATATTATCAAACCTTCATTCGTTCCCCACCCTGCAAAGACATGTCACACAGTGACAATGAAACAACTGGATGGGGACAACGAAAACAACTCGCGTAATGAGAGAATAAAAAATGCCTCATGCCATGATACAACAAAGTAAAATCCCCTCTATTTGAGCACTTCTGAATTATTCAAATACCAATTTCACTATGTACTAATTTTCTGCACTTATTTTACAGAGTTTGAACACACGCTCATACAGAAAATAAAATAAAAAATCCTGTAGATTAACAGGTAGCTTATTAATTAGATGTTACAAGTACAACAGTTCATAAAACAATTTATACATCATAAAATTTTTCTATTGTTGCATTTCTTTTCATTAAAACATTTATTGCATCTCACGTTTGTCTCTTTGTTTTTCTTCTCTTAACTGTAAAATTAGTTATTATTAGTATTGCTGCATTAAAGCTGTGTCAAGCATGTGCATGAAATCTTTCTATTTAGTTCTTAAAAACACGCCTGTGAATCATGTCCACGGAAAAAAAAAACAAGAAAAAAACTTAAGAGTTGTGTCTTTAAAAAAGTTAATGAAACTGTAAAAACGAAACGAAACTAAAGATAAAATTTACATACAATTATTTAGATATGATTGATGTTATTTTTTAATCAGAATTATAATTTTATTTTGATCATACGTATTTTTATTTAATTTTAATTTGATTGGAGAACGATAGTAACAATACCTAAAAAAATTGTAATTGAGTTTTTTCTTCCCAAACCAAATCTCAATGATCATCTACGTATTTAGGCGGTTAGTATTAGCAAATTGTAACCGTTGGGTGAAGATCAACAGGCTTGTATTTTATCTAGTAAACACGCTCTCGTGACTGAGCCGTCCGATATTCATCCAACGGTATCAATTTGCTGACGGCGTGAATGTGTGAAAAGCATGACGAATGAACTGATCAAGCATTGCAGAAATAACTAACAGTTACTACATTAAACCAAATACAAATCACTAAACTGTAATGCACGTGTAAAATTGGATCAGAAGCGCCACAATAATTCATTCCATGATCTAACTAAGAGTTGATACGTAATAAAACTCGCACGATCAGATCACGGACACACCAAAAGACTTACACCGAAACGAGATATAGATAAAGAAAATGTGAACAGGTCGAGGATCTAACAACACTAAGAAAATCAAATAAATGAATGATGGAAACCTTGAAAAGCTTTTCTCAATTGCTCACTGTCTTCCATTGGAGAAGGAAGTTGAGGAGGAACCTTCAACGTCGCCATTTTCACAGCGTGTGTTCACGATCGACCTCTGTCCGCAATGTGATGCAGAAAGTTGAGAACAACGTCAGGAGTTGATGCCAGCTTTACTATTTATACAAGGAACGCTACGAAACAATTGGCGACGAGAAGGGAAAAAAATTTGTTGTCATTTACTAATTTTTTTTAAAATATATTTTATTATAATTTTCATACTAAAAAAGTTTGATGTCGTTTATACAATCACGACTATAAACGAATTTTTTACAGAAATATTATTTTTTTAAAAAAAAATTAATTAATCACTGTGCAGCTTTATTTACAGGGATAGAACCATTCACTGTTTAAGCTCAGAATTCGGTTCCCGGGGAACCGAATTCTGAGCATCAATATGTATTTTTTTTTGTTTTTTCAACTCTTTTATTTTTTTTTTCGTGTTTGCAGGGGAGATGTGGGCTGACGTTGGAAGCGGAACGGCCCGTTCCGAAATCAGAACGGGCCGTTCTGCTTAAAGAAACAGAATGGCATTTGTTAAAGTGAAACGGGCCAAGAACGGGCCGTTCCGACGTTAAGAATTAACGTTGAAATAGATGTTGGAAGCAGCCCGTTTTAAATAAATTTTTGTGGTAATTTTTTTAATGTGGAACGGGCCGTTTTTGTTTTAGAACCGCCCGTTCCAAAATAGAAATTTACACATTTTTTTACTCCTAGAACGGATTCGGAACGTCCCGTTCCAGGAGCTGTTTTTACAAAGTTTTTTTTATTTGGAACGGCCCGTTCTGGGTAAACAGTAAAAACTTGCGTTTTTCTATAAATAGACCCTCTCCCCTTCATTTTTTTCACACGATTTCAGATTAGCTTATCTCCTTTATTCCTTCCGTGTACCCCTTTTGAATCAGTTTCTTAGAATCACGTTCATTTCCTTTAAACCTTTCATAAAATGGCTTCTTCAATCTATGTTATTGTTCATTCTGATGGTTCCATTAACCAATGTCCAAATGAAGGAATCACCTTCTCTTCTCCATCTGCAAAATTAGTTCTTATCAACAGAGGAATTACTCTAGAAAGGCTTCAAAGAGTCATCCACAGAAAGCTACATCGACAAGATTTTGAGAGGGTGGATAGCATACATTTTCGGTACCCTATTAGACTTGGCCTAGGGGTTAGTAACTATACCTGTGTTGAGTTGACGGATGATGAAGACGTTGAGGCACTTTTCAATGTTCACGATTCTAATCAACTTCAATCAGGTATTGAATTATATGCTACATTTACTACAGTTGAATCACATGCACCACAAGTTTCACCTTCACGTTCACCTTACGAAGTTTATCAAAGTTACCAGTACACTAACCCATCTGGCCCTTCTTATGATATCCCCTCCAACTACAACATTGAGTCATACACACAGCTTTTAAGTGGTCCAATCATGGACCTTAATCAAATACCTTCTCAGCCATTTGAGCAAGCTAGACCTTCTGCTTCTCAACCCAATGTTGAAACCAACATTGAAGATGATGTTGTTGTTGGTCTCCCAACAGAAAATGTCTTTGATCCTTTTAGC